TTACGCCCAGACAATCAGAGCATGAAGAAACCTGATAGAGGATTATTACACAAATCCAAAAAAGAACAAAAAAAAAAAAAGATTACTTCAGCTGCTCCGTGCTGGGAAGTGCCAGATTCTGTGACGCCGTCGGATAAGACGAAAAAATGGCTGCGTTGGCTTTGGCGTATAAAAGAGCGGTGCTGTCCAAAACCGTACTGAGACCATAATCCAGTTCTGGCATAATCTGAGAGCTATAATCAGGTTTCGAAACAGCACTAGGGCCGCACCCTAGTCCCAGGCCAGTGCTGGAGCGGTATTCTGCTTCCGATACGGCACTGAGGCCGTACAGCGACGGCGACAGGGTTGTAAGGCCAACAGCACTGAGATCATAATCCTGCTTTGGCACTGCTAAAAGGCCACGTTCTGGCTTCAGCATGGCCTTGATGCCACAATCGAGATCTGGTACAGTGCTGGGGCTGCAGCCTGGCTTCGGAACGACGGCGGGCGCAAAATTCGGCATGACGACAATATTGCTGAAAGCGGCGGGGCTCTTGTTCGATGCTTCCGGAGTCCAGACGGTTGCTGCTGTTGCAGCAATACAGTAATAACTACCGTCCATAGTGTGAGTTGGATGAATGCTGCAAGTGGCAGCAGTAAAAATGGGTAATGCTGCTGCTGCCCGGGAGAAGTGATTCGGCGAGCTGTTCAAAATACATTGTTGCTGCTGCTGCTGCCGCTGCTGTTGTTGTTGTTGCTGCTGTTGTTGCTGTTGTTGTTGTTGTTGTTGCTGCTGCTGCAGCTGTGTACTGCTACTGCTTTTTGCAGTGGTCCTGAATATCATTGAATGTATGAGATTAAGTAGGTCAGTAGTGGACGTAATGGTTGTTGAACGAGCAGTTGTTGTGGTGGCTGTATAAGTGGTGGTAGTAAAAGAAGCAGTTGATGAGTTAGTGGTAATGGTTGGTTGATGCGCCGGGCGATGGTGCTCACTCCCAAGTGACCAGCGGCTGGGTAGCTGTTGTTGTTGCTGTTGTTGTTGTTGTTGTTGTTGTTGTTGCTGCTGCGATAGTAGACTAAATTGTGGATAGCAGCATAGCGGTTGCGTTGGAGGAAAGAAACTTTGACTGCCCGGGAACATTATAAAAACATCTATTACAGATTACCGAGCACAGCCAGCCAGTCCTGAAACTTGAAAAAATTAACGCAATAGGCCGAAAATAATAAAAACACGTCGAATGCACTTGAGCAGTCGCGAGCTCGCAATGGAAATAACAGCACCAACAAACAAAGTCATACAGGCAGGATAACAGTACATAATCGTATCCTAGTCACACAACGCCACTTTTAGATCAAAAAAGTTTAAACGACGCATCCAATCGCGGTAAGTGCAGAAAATCGTACTTTCATACTACACGAAGTAGCAGCGATATCATTTTGCCTCGCAGAAAAATACAACTGCCAACTCACAGTTAGCAAGTTCAAAGTTATAAATCGCAACTTCCAGCATTAATAATGCATACGGGAGATCTGTCAGCGCTCCCGAGTAACACTGGCAGACCCTGCGTTTTTTTCGTTTTTTAATTGCGCTAGAACTGGAACAGCAGGATATTTCATGGACAGAAGACTCTACTTCACTCGCAAAAGTAACACGAAAAGCCAAAACCCCGATTTTCCCAGTTCTCCCACTATTTCAAAAGTTGCGCATATCGGCTTTTGCTTTCTTCTTGCTAGAAGCTCACTCCCAATATACGCATCCAGACATGGCTCAATTTGAGACTAAGCTTACGCCAATCTGTTCATGTCCGAAAGCAATATGAACCATCCCTAGCGCGCTCTCCACGCAGACAGATTCAACGACAGTACTGCTAACTCATACCAAACAGCCCGAAGCATCAAAACATTTACTAAGATAGTTGGTTCCGATATAAAACGAGAACTGTGGTGAAAGCCTGCGATCCTGGCAATTGCGTGTTCAGTGAAAGGCGTCGCATCCACTCGGTTACAACAGGTGCCACGATTGCCCAATGAGAAACTGGACGAAAAACTAAGACAAACATTTCGAAACAAGGCAAACGTACAGTAAAGCTGCAAAAAAAGGCAAAAGTCTGCCAAAAAGGCGCAAGATTATGCTAAGTGTATGCGAATTTAGTAAAAGCAGACAAAACTTTTCGCAAAAAACCAAGCTTTTTCATAAAAAAAAAAGCTTGAAGAAATTCAGTTTCGAGGTCATACAGGCTCAAAAACTCATCCACATTCATTCTGTGAGGAATGCAGGCATTAGCTCCAGCTGCAGCATGGCTACTTAAAACAGCCAACACTAGCATAACGAATCATCGAACTGTAAAGGAACTGGCTGCTCCACTGGTAAAGATGAACCACCGAGATTCAGATGCTGGAAGATTCAACGGCACGCTAAAAACGGAACAACAAGGTCACAACACATTTCATAAGATTAAAAATCTGGGAACCTCAAAGTTAAGCAAATCAGATGAAAAACAGAAAAAAAACGCCAAAAACTGGGCGTAATTTCTATGGGCGATGCACTGCTGAAGCTGATAAAATGCATGCATTTCGATAAAAATGAGTTGGCAGATTTGGAGAAAAACAGTGCGCTTCACACCACGTAGTGGCAAATATGCGTTTTGGAGCACAAAATTTCTTCCCCACT